AAAGTCCACGCGGTTCGCGAGACCACGTATGGGAGTGACCACGTCGAGACGAGGTTTACAACGGACGCTGTAGTCGGCGCGTATCTCGAGCTCGGCGCCACCGCGGACGCAGCCACCGCGCGCACTTTAGGTGAGGTCGACGATACGGTGCGCGCTCAACCTCGCGGGGGCCGAGCTGCTCTGCATTCGCTGGGACGACCACCAGTACGTCGCGTTGCAGTCGCGGATGCAGTCGGCTGGCGCGCGCGAGATTCTTGTCTGGATGCGTACGTCGATATTGCTATCAAGAGAGTATCATGGAGCCCATGGTGATGAACAACATTGTCTAGTCGAACTCAACTTGGGCATGCTGTGGTCCAATGGACGGGACTGGCACGCGGCGCATGCGAGCTACGAGCGTGCGTTGGCGATGCAAACCAACCGGCACCGTGCGTGGCAGGCGTACGGCTTCGCACTGGTTGCGCCTCGACGCATTCAAGACGCGATGCTCTCGTCTATTCTATCGAGTACGGACCGATTGCTGCCGCGTATGCTACAAGCCGATCCAGGGCTGCACCTTTGCCTGCCGGATGTGCCCGATTGGGTTGCATGCCTTTTGCACGCGCTGCTTCCAGACGCAGTTCGCCACGTACTGCGTCCAGGCTGAGGACGATGCGGCGCGGGCGTGGACAACGATGCCGGTTCTTGTACGAAGCCGACCTCTTGGCGCTCGAGTGGCCCGTGTACCTACCTACTCGAGATGACGTTTGCTGCGTACGAGACGTACTGCGCGACGTACCATGTGCCACTACACGAGCGGCTTGCGCGGACTGCGGTGCCCGGTTTGCAGCACCACCCGATGCTTTCAAAGGTAAACGACAAAAGACAAGAGGAAGAGGCATGTGAATGACTTGTGGGTGAATAACAGCGCACACGAAGAGAGGTGGTCACTTGTATGTCCCTTCGCTAATAGATGGGCATAGAGCCGCTGCTAGAGAGTGTCGAAGATGTGTCAGCACGTCAGGGTCGTGTGGGTCTGGCCAGGCCAGCGCCAGCCACCCGCAACTCGATTCTGGCAACAAGGTTGCAGTGCGGGACCGAGGCGCCCAGGTGATGGAGATCACGACGTGTAGTAAGGTCCAGGAAATAAGAATCTTATGACGAATCTTATTCTCTTAAGTAAAGTGTGGTCAAGTTGATAGTCGGTGGCAACTATGTCATTTGGCGAATCCGAGCAAATGTTTCCATCGCGGGATCAAAGCGGCTACAGAATGAGGCGCTCAAGAAACAAACCAAGTTGAACCGGCGCGGTCGAAAGCGAGTTGCAACGCTTTGATTGAGGAACGGGTGCCCGCGGCGTCTACCCATGCCCCGTGCAGTGTGTACATAGCTCGTGTGTCGATGGCGGTGCTCCGATCGAATACAAAACCGAATTACGAAGGAGGAGAGAACACTCGACTATCAGTGTTGTATAACTTAACTATCACTAGTGCGCTTACTATATACTTGGCAGCTGATCACATGGCCGACGACATCATAAAGACCATGTTGGTCGAGACGATCGCCGGGTCCTGCACGACCTTCTTGGGCTGCACGCCTTCTTTCAGCTCGTCAATCGGCCCAAGCTCGTCGACCGAGACCCGCGCCTTCATGGACGCGACTTGCTGCGGCAGGAACGGCACGGGCTTGCCACCGACGACGGTTGTCTGCTTGGACTCGTTGGCGTACTTGGCCGGCAATGGCACGACGGGGAACCGGTTCGGGCGCTCCGTCTTGGCCACGAGCTTGCGCCACCAGCCCTTCAACGTCTTTTTCTCGTTCTTCTTGGAGGTCGAGGAGGATTTGAAGCCGAGGAAGATCGCCATGGTCGTCGTTGGATGGGGCGAAATGTAAAGTGAACCGCCGCACCAACCACCCCGGTGTAGTTGCGACAAGGGTCGCAGAGTGACGGTATTTGGTCGCGCATCTCGCCAATGCAACACATGGGGACGTCCCACGGCTTAGCTTGGACTGATGCTGTCGATAAACATGGGATGTGGCCGTTCGTCATCGCACGCCACGTCGCGACTTGAAGGCGGTCGAGGCGCAAGACCATACATACTACTGTCAACTGCTACGAGATGAACTCGCTGCTATCTCTCCAGTCTGCCTGCAGACCGATAGCAGCGAGGCAAAGGCGCGTGACGTTAGCGAGGCGGCGATGGACAGGCGAGAGATCCGGTTGATGTTGAAGCCGAAGTTTTTCAGATTTTTTGTAATGTGGGCGGCTCTAAAAAACCATCAGGGCGCGTCGGCCTCTGCAACGGCAGCCACGTAGTACGACGTAGCATCGTAGATGCCGCAAGATGCAAGCACCGCCGTCTTGTTGTTGTATCTGCAGCCACCACCCACGAACACGGCCTGCACATCAAAGCAGCGGTCAACGTCCAGCGCGTGGAATCGACTAATCGGAGCGATCACAGCAAACAGCCGGTGGGTGGTACATCCTTCCGAGCTCGGCCAAGCTCGGAAGGTCTGTCCCATGTGGCGGTGACCAATCTTTTGGATGTTGCAGCAGCTCCGACGACAGCTTCCGACGACAGCTCTTAACGGTCGCGTCGTCAGCTTCGTCTCGGCGACGAAGAGCCACGGTACATCAACTTATACTGCGCTAGCGGTATGCACGGGTGGATCGAGTGCCGACGCTCGACTGTGTCACACAGGACGGAGCCTGCGCTTGATAGACGCCTAGCACATCCAAGGTCATGGATCACGCGGTCGTTGCTTGCGTCCTCGGTGCAGGACAGGCCAGGCAAAGCAAGAGGCACATCAACGATAAATAGGTGGTGCATTGTAGCAATAATGAAGCGTCGCGATGGATGCCACTAAGTTAGTACTCTTCGTCCGAGCCGTCGTCGTCGTCGAGCTCGGCGCATTGCGTGACGGACGCGCTCAGGCGCGCGCGCGCAGCGCAGCCCGGGCACACGAGTTGACCGCCCGACGTCGTCGCGTCCTCGTCGATCGCGGCA